TGCTTACAAGTATAATTTGAACATCTAATTAATTGACTGATACATGAACCACAGCATTGTATGTGATTAAAAAACAAAACTCTCAAGAATTTGGCAAATCACTTTAATACTAACTTTATTTTTTAGGTTACCTTCAGAACACCTACCAAAGTCCTCAGAAAGCAATTCTGGAGTTTGAAATATCTTTCTGGGAATAATTTTCTCTCTGCAACTTTGCAGAACACTTGTCTTTGATGTGTGTGATTTTTTTTTTAATCCATTAGTTTTATAAAGAATGTATTGATTTGCTCTATCTTTAGTTACATACACAGTGTAAGGCTTCGTGGTGGAGGTAAAACAATGACTAGAACAAGGTACCTTCATAGATAGGACAACGCAAAAATGATATACATAAGGCAGTGGATTTGTGAGGCTCAGAGGGCCTGCCCCCAGTGTTCCCATGGCTGGTAGAGTGCCCCTGGCATGTAGGAGACACCTACAAACATTTGTTGAACAAATTAACAAAGGGTCTGGGCTTTGGTGCTAGGTGACCTGTAGGTCCACTCACATTGGCTCACTGGAATATGGTGTGACCATTTTGATCTCTGGCTTTGAGAGCTTCCTAATTATTTTCTTTCCCTGCTGGGTGAGTGTGTCTGTGATGAAAGGCGACCTGCAATGTCTACTAGAGCCCCTGCCTTCCTTCCTCGTATGGTATATGGCCCTTGTTTCAGTAGCCAACTAGGAATTCTTGGATTTCCCCATTTTCCTTCTTTTCCTTGGTGGTATAAACAACAAACAGACCCTTAAAAGAGAGAAACTAAAGCAAATGTTTAAGACAAGTACGAGAAGCACTGGTTGTACAGTAGAGTTCTGATATTTTGAGGGGTGTGAAGAACCATGCAAACGTACAGGTTTATAGTGTTTTTCTGGAGATCCTTATCTGGAGGAAAAACAGATACATGTGCAGGAATCTCTGTATTCGCCAATTTATGTATTTCTGCAGGTATTATCCTTTCACTGTGCCAAGCCATGTTCACTGATAACATTTCCATTTTTATTCAGCCCCATGGGAAGCAGTCCTGTTTAAAGGTGAGACCCTGCATATCTTGGTTAACTAAGCAAAGAGGTCTAGAAGAGGGAATATGCTCTTTCTTGAAAGCAGTGGCCAATGAGGTGGGAGCAAACAAACGCTTGCCACTCAAAATCTCTCCTAAGGAGAATGTTCTAAGGACTCGTCTTTTAGAATGTAAATGACTGTGAATGACCTCTGAAGGAGTTTGGTTCTGCCTTTAGCTCACCGGGGTGTAAATTTCTTTAAGTAGATAACTAGGTCAGCACTTCACAAAGATCAATAGTCCTTAAGAAATGGGAATTTTGGTTAGGGCCTTGAGGAAGGATGAGGCAGCCTTCAGTAGTTTAAAAGACTGAGAACTCTGTTAAGGCACTGAGTGGAATTCTAGCGAGGAGTTGGGAAGGTAGAATGAGATTATATCAGAAAAGGATGTCTACCTTCTCCCTAATGTTATTATTAGATTATTATTATTATTAATAAAAATAAGTTACCACTTATTGATACATAATTGTCATGTAGTGGTTTCTTATCCTAACTTTAACTCGAGGAAGCTTAAAGAGGATAGTAGGGGGCC